GAGAGAGAGAAATCCCTGAAGCCCTGAACAACTGGAATCAGCAGAAGGTAGAAGTTTTCCTTCATCAGTAGAACATCAAGAGGAAGTTTAATTTCCCTGAAGTATCACACATGGGAGGAGTCTGGGAACGCATGATTCGTTTAGTGAGAAAGATCTTAAGAGCCCTTTTTAAGCAACAATTGGTTTTGGAGACGCACTGCCAACGTTGATGGCAGGAGTTGATGGAATTCTCAATGGTTGACCATTGACTCTTAACAATGGCATGCAGTCCTATTGATTCACCATCTTCGACTAATGACCATTTGTTACTTCGATGGCATTTAAATTTGCCACCAGGAGTCTTCGTTAAGAATGATTTGTACTGCCATCGTCGCTGGAAGCTGGTTCAATACCTTCCTGGCGTATTTTCGAGGAGATGGTTTTCGTAATATCTGTTAAATTTGCAAGGACGGCAGAAATGGATCAGACCACGTCATAGTTTTGCTGTTGGTAACCTGGTTTTAATTCCTGATGAAAGAGTTCACCCCAGTCGGCGGCCTTTGGGTCACGTTCTCGAAGGTCACCCAGGAAGGGATGGATTTATCCGATCCGATGGCCCAATACTTAAAGTAAAACTAAGGGGTTGGAATGTAGCAACTAGAATTTGAATTTCTGTCTATTGTCAAGTAACTGCGGAAATATTTTATATTGTTTTTATATATTTTTTTGAACTACTATTGTGATGTTCTGTTTCGATTCAATTAAGCCCGCTTTTTTGCATGAGTTTGTGTAAGAATTACGTAGTGCTGGTAGCACTTTATTTCTCGCTAGTACAAGCTTTGTTTTAGTTACATACTTTTCATTACTAGTTAATTTCAGATAAGTCAGTCTTTTCGTTAATTTTTGCTAGCGCCGTGTTACTTTTGTTTCATTACCAGACCTGATTACGCCACAAATTGTAGGTTCGTTTCTTTCTTATGTAGCTCTGTCGTTAGTCTTGTTGTTATATGTGTACCTAGATATTTGTATTAGTATTCTATGTTCTATTGAGTTTAACACTAAAAAGGTCAGTTTTGCTCTAAGATTTTATGGACCTCTCTGTAGTTCTCTAACATTTTGGGTACTTTTTAGTGATAGTGTTGACAATGATAATAATTATAATGATGATGATAGTGATAATAATATCAGTGATAATAATATCAATGATAATAATGTTGGTGACGATGATATGAATAATAATAACAGTTCTAGGAAGTATAGTCTATCATACCCTGAACCTCCGTGAAAAAAAATTACTTAAGCTAACGTATTTTTATTATCATGTGATTTGAGGTTGGTATGATGATGACATAAAATTTAAAATTGCTTGTCGATCATTTTAAAACGTATTTTGTTTTTTCCCAGTTCAAACAGTTTCAAGTACAGTTGCCACCTCATCCCAAACAACTCCCGCAGGTAAATGTTCTTTATAGGCGTTTTCTTTTTTTATTACATGTAAAACTATGTAATCATAATAGCATGTTCTTTAGTGTTACAAAATGAGTTTGAGTAAAAGAAAAAGAGTGAATTAGGTCACTGAAGGCCTGGAACTTAGCGAAGGACTGTAGACTCACAAACAGTCATAACAATGTTCAAGCTGAATTATTGTTAGATAGAACCACTTCTTGGCAGTTTTTGTGAACCAAGGCTCTTCATGTTTTTCGTAAATGTAAAAGGACACGGCTTTTCTTCAGCTTCAGAAAGCACAGAAGTTTACCTGACAGCGACAGTACAGGGGAACTGTAGCACACGTTCAGAAGTTGCTGCGAAATTTCCAGAAATGGTTAGATAATCTACTTGATCTGTGTACCGTAGTGTATAGAATACTGCCATGATATTTATCATTAAAAGGGAATCTTAATCAATCTATTGTTGACCGAAATCTCAATATTTCTGTTAAAACAAAATGACATTTTGAACGATCTTCAATTACGAAACAAGTATTCAAATTTACATTTTTTCTTTAAATGTGCTTTTAGGCTTGTCAAATTTCCTTTAAGTTTGGCTGCTCATCCGCCAACACCGTGAACACCAGGTAAGGTGCAGTTTGTCTCAACACTGAAACAACAAACGCTAACGCAAATCTGTGTTCTGGGGCGGAGAGGAGCTTTATCTCAGTTTGGCGTATTTTAGTGTTAAAATTGATGTTTCTGCTCTAAAAAATCTTAGTTAATGCAAAATAATCTACATTGAAGTACATTTTATTTAATGTACAGCAACAGATTGACACAGAATGACATGAATTAATTTTATTTACCTTGGTTTATTAGATCAAAAATACTCTTTTGGTTAAATCTCAATTTATTTTAACACTTGAAAGTCACCAAAGTACAAATAGAATGCCGAATAGAGAACCGTGCCGTAAAGAGCACAATGCATAAATTATGACTGATTATGCAATTGAAGCCGTGTGGTTACTCAATTGTCACGCAAGATGCGCCTTCGTCGAATTGCTCTCGCTGTAAACTCTGTCCTTTCGGTAACATACTTTGTTTGGCGCTGGATTCTTTCTAATCTTTAGGCTACTCATTTATAATAAGTCAAAACAGACCACAAGACGCCTATATCCCCAAGTGTAACGTTGCGTAACTTAAGTACTGCGGTTCTCCTAACTCATAACCTGTTTAACTATTTCTCAAGTAACGTTATTTAAATTAAGGTAGCGACAATTTTTTTCACAGAGCAAAGACAGAAACAAGGTCCTATAATGAAAATGTTATTTATTGTAACAAATGGCTTTGTATTGTAATCGTAATAAGCTTTCAAGGGAGAGAAACAAATATTTGGAATAGGAAATGTAGTTATATTCTCCAAAGGTGACAAATGTTTGAATAGGTGAAGAATGTAAAAGCGGATGAAGAAACTACTTGCAAACCTAAATGAACTCTTCCCACGATTTCATTTTGTTTAATGCAGACTGTATAGTCACTCATAACTTATGCGTCTTACTCTTTTCGGCACGGTGTTCGATTCGGCATTTTACATCCTTCCCCCTTACCTAGGTGTGGTAGTGTTGTTCTCGACTTCATGATGAGGTTCAATCGAAGTGTAGTCGTCAGCAATGTTTTGACTGTCCTGTTCGATGCTGCAAGGCAAGAGAAATTCGGAGGTTTCAAAGTCGATCCAGAATCAATTAAACAAGTTTTTATAACCACAGACGGCTCGGAAAGCACAACAAAAAGTATGTTTTACAAAGAAATATTATTGTTAAGTGTTTACACGTATTCGTCCGAAGATGGACATTTTAATTGTATTCCGTATCTGTTTAATTAAACAAGTCATTTCTGTGAGTCATATATTTCCAAGTTTTATTTTCGTCGCTGTTGTTGTTTTTATTAAATTAAACAAAATCTTACTTTTTAAAAATTATTATAGAGAGAGTAGCACCTTGCTTTTCCTTAGTACCTAGCCAGTTCGAGTGAACGGTTTTCGTTCTAGAGCATAAGCTATGTAGTGAGAGCAGTGTATTGACCACGATCACTGTAAATGTTGTTTGAATGTTATCTGATCAAGCTTTGTAAACTGAATCATTTTAGGTCCTGAGGAATGTAACTGCCCTTCTAACAACGTCTCGTTAGCCATAAATGGGGTTCTTGCCTTCACAATCGTTCTTCTAATTATTTACATAATCTGGCTACATAAGAAAGGTAGGTAAAAAATTCATAATCTATGATAGAGGGTTTGGCTGCAAGATTCATTATTAAGCAAAAGCAACTCTTGACCTACATCCACATCATTTGTCTTTTTTTTCCTTTCGTTCTTTTTCAGGCGCTGTAGGGAAACAGAGGTAAGAATTTGGCACTTGGATTGTGTCGATGTAATGTTCCAGATATGGTATCATCGTATAACAAACTTCCACTTAAACTGATTCTTTCCTCAAAATAAATATTTTTATGCTTTCTCAATTGTAGGACTTATGAAGATGAAAGAGGTGTTTCCTACGTAAGTTACAGCTAAGACATTGAGATCATGTTAGTGTGGCCAGTAATTATGTAATCTCACTTTACCTCTACTCTCTAGAAGGAAATAAACGCTTGCAACAAATAGGAAGGAAAAAGGTGTAGTTCTGCCAAAAGGCATAATGCATTAATGACAGGCACAATAAAATATGGAAAGAAGTTTGACTCGATAGGATCTTTGTCCTGGGATCATGTCCTTTACCAAGCTGCTCCATCGATTTTCCTTCGGTTGTCCCTGGTTCAACTGCGTGGTTTCACTTCATAGATCGCAAACTGGTCTACACCCGGTTGATATTTGTTTTGTAAATGATTTTTTTTCACGCCGTTTTGGCCGTCTCTTTATCTTGATGCCTTATTTTCCAAGCGTTAGTCCAGGAGCTTAGTACAGCAAGAGTTTTTTTTTCGTGTGTGCATTTGTCAAAACATCGCACTACCAATCGACGATCTTCATGTTGCGGTTTGTAGCTTCAACGAATATGCTATGAACCTCGATCACTGCATTGGACATGATAGTTTCAATGGCAGAGAACAAAGTGTTAGTAATAATAAATATTAGTAATATTTAAGGACAAGAGATTATAAACTATTAATAATCTCTTGTTATGAAATAATATAAACGCTTGTCTGATGAAAACGGGTAAATTGATTTTTATGAAAACGTAGGAAATTTTATTGGGATTAATAACAGATTTGTATATGAATACCTTAACGGTATGTTGGTTTAATAGAATGAAACAGGATTAGAAGATAGCGAACCAAGTCTGCCCGATTCAGCAAAACTCACCCAGCCTCCTGCGGAATATATGGATCTCATAGAAGTCATCAAACATGATAGAAAAGCACAAAGTACCGCTTCAGGTGCTGATTACGTGCCTCTTCATCCGTTAACACGCTGCTGGGAAGTTTCAAGACACCACGTGACCATAGAAAAAAATTATTGGTAAAGGTGCTTTTGGTCAGGTTGCCAAGGGAACAGCAATAGGACTTCGAGGGAGTCCTGAAACGACCACAGTGGCTATTAAGATGCTTAAAAGTGAGTTCTTGAACTGTAAATTGAATGAGAGTCTTGGCCTACAGTCATATACTGTTACCGGGTTACCGTAACTTTTTAGCTATTTGTGATTGGATAAGTTATGTCGCTATTTCAACATTTTGCATATTATTCCCGTAAACCAAATTTTACTCCTTGTTTTAACGCTCCAGAAAACGCTACTGAATCGGACAAGAGAGATTTGATGAAAGAACTTGACACAATGAAGCAGCTGAAACCACATCCTTACGTCATTAAACTTCTGGGATGCGTTACAGAATCTGGTAAGCTTTGATTATGAGGTCTAATTTTGCTGTACACATTTTGCATCTGATTTACTCTGTAGCGCTTTCTCGTCATTGATAATTTGCTTCAGTGGAAGATTCACTGCTTCACAATTGCGCACAACAAACAACGCATATGGTAATTTTATCCTTTTTTAGCTAACAGCGACGCTCTTGGATTTGCTGATAGACGAAGACCAAATATTTGCCATTGTACAAGCCATCCTGTTGTATAAGCAGAATCGCTTTTTCTAAGGGAATATTTGATCTGTACCTTCTTATGAGATCGTTACAAAGTTTTCCAGCTTTTCATCGTAAAACTACATCTTGTTTTCGTGCGATTTCTTCAAATGTATTGACCCTGACTGCTATTTATTTTTTTTACTTATTGCTAATTTTTTTAGAGAGAGAAATATCTAAATGAAACTGTTTAATTTCCTCAGAACAGCTGCTGGTTTTGATTGAATATGTGCCTTTTGGGGATCTGCTGGGTTACCTGAGAAAGAGCCGTGGATTAAAAGACACTTACTTCCAAGACCCGGAAGTCAAACCACAAACAAATCTGACGTCACAGCAGCTGATGAAGTTTGCTTGGCAAATTGCTGATGGAATGAGTTATTTGTCCTCAAAATCTGTAAGTTAATTAAAAAGGCACCAAAGAAAAACAATTCTAAAACCTTCTTGTAAGATGTATCGTCATGTTAAGCTATGTCTTGCATAGAAAAATACGTCTTCACAAGATCACGCCCGGGATATGCAAACGTATTCTTACCGTCTTGTTGAGGCTATTTCTTTAGGGCCAGGAACCCTACCAATGCTGACGTCATCACCTAAGTTATATTTCAGTGTGCGAATGGCGATATTTGTGCATCTTTGCAAGTGTACCTCATCGAAATAAAATATCTGGGTTTTTCTCGTGTAGGCAAAGGCAGAGACGTGAATGAATAGGATCTTTAATTCAGCCTAAACTGAGTGTACAACGAATATTCATTTTAGTGACAAAGTCGTCTTTGGTTGCTAAAATGCTACATTACAGAACCCTACTTCGAATAAAATCTTCAGATAAGCTTTCTATGTAATAATTATGAATTGCAGAAATAAAGTGGTTTGCTTCTCTTTGGAATATGGAACAGCGATTATAGTAATTTTAATTTTCTGCCATCTGGAATACAGAGAAATATACACACCATATTATGTCGCTGGATATTTCTATTTTCCTATCTGAACCATTTAATTTCAGTTCTTTTCTTCTGGAATCGCTAATTTTTGCTCTCGGATCAATGCTTTCTTAGATCATTCACCGAGACCTTGCGGCTCGTAATGTGTTGGTTGGACATAAGGAAACTTGTAAAGTGACAGACTTCGGAATGGCAAGAGATGTGCAGCAGGAAAATATTTATGAACGAAAGACTAAGGTATTCAAGAAAGAGGGAGGTGGGGGCGGTACTACATATCGTTCAGTTTAGTGATCTTTCACAATCATTGTACTCCTGATTTCGATGACAAAATCCTTGGACGGGACCGTAATAAAAATATTAGCCTTGCGTATACGAGTATAATTTTAAATATCACTGTCTTTGACCGGTCGCTTCCTATAATTTTTTTAGCTGTTTCACAAAGTGATATTTGAAATCTTTAGGGCCGTCTTCCCGTGAAGTGGACAGCTTATGAGGCCTTGATGTATGGTAAATATACCACGAAAAGTGATGTGTAAGTATACCCGATTATTACCCGTAGCAATTTTCCAACAAGTTTCACCAATAGAATAAGAGAGAGGGTAAGTTTTGGGCTCGGTAATGAAATAGAGAAAGATGTTTTTCATCCTCTCACGAGCGTTGGACAATGAAAAAATTCTTGACTCCCCATGAGGAATCGCACCTCAGACCATCGGATTCCGCGCTCCGATGGTCATACCACTGAGCCACAGAGACTCTTCAGTGAGTGAGGTTTATTACTAAGTTCATATGACACGCGTCCTGCATACTGCAAGGATCAGCAATGTCGATATAGAGTCATGTTTGTACATAAAAATAAGAGAAAGAATCGGAGCGCGGAATCCGAAGGTCTGAGGTTCAATTCCTCGTTGGGAGTCAAAATTTTTCTTTGTCCCACACTCGTGACAAGACGAAAAAATCTTTCTCTAAGTGTTATAAATTTTAACTAGGGCATGAATTCTATGCTTTGTCAAAGAGTACATGTATTTTAATTGTCGTATATAATGTTAATGTCTTCAGTCACCCAATATATATTTGTTTGATTTGTCTTTCCGCAGATGGAGTTACGGAGTTTTGCTGTACGAGATTTTCACCATAGGTAACATCGAATGAAAATTTATAAGGCCCTGTAGATGTTTTTTTGCTATATACCATGTTTAATTAAGCAATTTAACGTGTTCAGTTAGACAAACGTAATGAGCTTCAAACTACATCAAATGATCTGGGTGGCGTTTCAGTGAAGGTCGTTTTTTTCGTCACATTTATATTTCGATGGTCTTATGGTTCTTCCAGGTGGTTCACCTTACCCACGAATGGATGGAAGAAAAATTGCAAACTTACTTCAGGATGGATACAGGATGCCTAAACCACAACACGTCGATGAAGAATTGTAGGTGTTTTTCAATTCGTTCTCTCTCACCCTACAAGGAAGCGTTCTTTAAATCTCTAACAGATCATTTGAACAATACCAGGTATCAGATTATGATGAAATGCTGGAAGAATGACCTGGATGCAAGACCAACTTTTACTGAATTGAAAAAATCAGCTTAAGGACATGGAAACCCTACACAAGGTGAGAATTTTGATCAACATGAAAGTTTCTTTTCACGTTTGACCGACTGGCTTAGGCTCAGCTAATTAGGGTTTTAAACATATTAGCGTTTAGCTTAGATAGCGTGATTTTTACGAAGTTTGGATTGCATCTTCTTGTTATGTCACTGAAGCTAGCACTCCACGAAAAACGGGGAAGAAGCGAACTAGAATGCCCCTGCTACAATTGACTCATTATGGTTATTTAAAAGATGGTAGGATTATTGCAAAACTGCACTGAGACGCGCAAAGAGTAGCAGACGACGACGCCATAAAATACTTTATTGAATTTGTTTTGGTGTGAAAAGCTGACCACTTGTGAGGATAACGCTTATAAGAGGAACACTTTTTTAATGATGCTGATTATTATATTATTCTTTTCTGCAGAAGCTGATCAACATGACAATGTACGACAAGCAGTTGTATGCAAACGTCGAGGATTTAATAGTGTAGTTAGATAGATTTCCGCGGTAAATGACTGGCTTACAGTTTGAACACTTTGCCTCAGCAAGTTTCAGGGATGAATCATCTTTGCCTTACACGCTTACTTGGTAGAAAAAGCCATTTTGTATTCAGAAATTAGGCTGGAACGTTATGACTCAATTGATTTTATATTCTTAAACGCTGTAACGCTGTTATCAGTTTACTGATAAAGTATACTCTCATGTTCTCTTTAACATGTTTAGCACTTACACGCATGCTCGACACAAGCGTTTGAATTCAGTTTATTTCCTGGCTCAATTCTGAAAGGCAGGACAGCGCAAAAAAAAAGCTAGTTAACTAGATTGATGAGATCTAGCTCAGATTGCCATAGTTGTCTACAGTTTTAGTAAATTGCTGAAAAAATTGTTTTGCCGCAAAACCCGCTCGATTTTAGGAAAGCTATCCGGCGCATAATCTGCTTTCCCTAAGACCGCATTTACCTGCGATACCAACTCGAAATACTTTTACACTGAAAGTATTATTAATTAAAAATTAACGTTATCCTAATAGAAAAATTATACTTGGCACATTACTTGAGCAATCGTCTTAGCTTTGAATCAAAGTGCTCTGTGAGCAAACTCGTGAATTGACAGATGACTTACATAATTTTTTGGATTATGTTTAAGGTTATCTGGCTTAGGGAATTTTGTGGTTGATTGTCATATTTAGAGTACGAGCAGTAGTTCAGTGTTCGCTAATGTAGCAAATCAAATCACTTTGGTCGACAGAAAAATATTGGTTTCAGAATTAATTTGTATAAGCAATAGTGTCAATTACGTTAGTTGGCAAGCGGCCTTAAAACCGTCTGCAGTTAATTTTAATCGTTCACAAAAAGTACATTGAAAGTTAAAACGTGAAGTATTTGGTTACAGTTAAACTGAACGATGTAACTTTTATTCATTTAATATCTGAATTTTCTCAAACGATTTGTTCGTAGTAAAAGAGCGAGCGAAGTTTTAGTTTAAGTTCTACAACAAATTTACGCTCTCGGTGAGTCTTTCCGAGTCCGTTCAATTTGGACATTTGTACCGTAAATTGCACAATAGAAACTGAGGGAATTTAATGAATAAAGGCCGCATTAAATCCCCGTTTGTTTCGTTAGAGTGTACCATTCTAATTTAGTTTTCGTGGAGGAAAGACCAGATTTACACACGCCATTGCAGCAAACAAACGAACAAACTCTCACAACTTCAAAATAAAAAAATTGAGTTTACTCGCATTTTTTCCTCGCCGTTTACTTAATGAACAGAGATAAATCTTCGTTCATGAATGAATCGTCGATAAGAGTGAATAATACTCTCCGTTAGACATTGACTGTTTTGAACTAAACATTTGCCAAACTAGTTCCGTTGTTTTCAAATGTTTTTTCTTTTTTTTTTCTTATGCTCCCCTTAATTGACAGGTGTCAGATTGTGACAGATACTTGTAAAAATAATGTTTCAAAGTTTGTTTGGAAGCCTTTTAAATCACCTTTATCTTTACGGAAATGAAAATGTTTCGGTGAGTCATCTCTCTTTAATTTGCATCACCTCCATTTTAACTACCATATACTCGCTCAAAAATTGTTTAGTTTAGGAAAGATCTTTCCATATTTACAGCCCTAAATCATTCGGGTTCTTTCGGAAAGAATTTCGTCAAGTTTAAAAAAAATTAAATATGTTATGTACCGGCTAAGGGTCGGTCCGTATTGTGAAAAACTGTGACCTCGGTCTTAAAATGCTTTTCACCATACTGACCTCCCAGCCGGCAAATAACTACATATATCATTTGTGTTTCTGGTTCAAAAGAAAAGGTTGGAAGTAAATGTGGGTGAAAAGCGAAATTTACTGTCTATCATTATAAATATTGGAAAATCAAGGCAATACCGTCTTAATGAAAACATTAATGATTCCCTCTTTATCAAATGAGACAAACAGGAACTAGTTTTGAGTGACATAACTAAGCCAAGACTGCCACCGTCATTTTGGACGTGCTAGGCAACGTATATTCAAGAACAAGATAGAATTTCATTTCAGACCTATTTATCCATTTTGTGGTGTATAAGTTTCGCATTTTGGTACGTAATATCTATTTAGAATCTTCAAATTGCCTTGAAACTTGGAAGAAAATTGTTCTTTAAACATTCACTGGAAATCGGTAGCCAAAATTATTTGTTTAGGTGTTATTTAATTTTCGTGTTAACCTGTAATTTCGTCAGTCGCCAGCAGCTTTTGTTGCTTCACACAAGAAAAACACACGATACGAAATGCAATGATCGATTTTGTCCCCAATCTCACATTATAACAGAAAAAGCTTTTGAACACTTGTAAAGCTCCGAGCGCTTCGGAATAAGTGATATTTTTAATGAATCTTCGAATTGTTTTCAAGTTCAAGGATTGTAAATAGCAGTTTTATGGAAAACGAAGGTTGTTCTCTTATTTCAGTGTGAATCCTCGCACGCCATCCAGTCGCTAGCGCCGCTTGTTGAAACTAAAACGAAAAAAAATAACTCTTTTAAGATTATCATTGGCTTCTTTTTCACCTCACAACTATTCTTAGCAACAAAGGTCGCCATTTCGTTTGTTTATTACTCGCCAAAAACTATCAAATGCACTCAAAAGTCTATAACTGAAAAAAAGTTTACAGGAATCGATCAATCGAGCGAGTGCTATTATCCAAATCATATCTACAACTCGCTCTTGCGCATGCGCGCGATTCACGAGTTAAAATGAATTTGCTGAAAATTTTATATAGAATTTGGAAGATTTTTGCCTAGAGGGAAATTACTTTTTCTTAACATTTCAATGTTAAAATTTGTGAAATACAAGGTATGAAACCCAAAAGAAACTAAATTTTAAGATCTGAAGTTTTTGGTAAATCAGAAATGGTGTTTTGTGATGAGAAAATTTCTTAAGAAAAATAGATCAATTTCGCGGCTAGTCTTAAGTCAGGCATGACTGACCAGGATTAGTCAAAAGTCACGTGGTTTGATGTAAATGGCCTTTCGTCAATAAACACTTTTTCTAAAACATTTGCTATAATTATAGCGTGTAGCAATAAGATGAAACTCTGTACCATATGTAAGACCCGAGTACTCCTCGATCTCTTCGTGAATCTTATCGGTGTTTATCACCTTGCAGGTAAATAACTTTATCTCCTAGGATTTGTTGTCACAATCAGGAGCATGTCGCGAAAGTGTGATGATGTTTTAACACTTACCATTTAAATGCACGGATTTTCCCCCTGGAGATGTTTATTAAATCATTAGTGCTCTTTCGAGTACCCTGGAGAGGATAAATAATAATAATAATAATAATAATAATAATAATGAGAACGGGTGCTGACCATACAATTTTGGAACAGTCAACAAAAGTTAGTGCTCTGGGAATTATGGGTAGTTGTCGTCAAGTAAACTGCGCTTTGTCACGAAAGAGGTAATAAACGGATTGGTAACGGGACGTACAGTGTAAATTGCTATTACCGGCGTCCAGAGTATTGTCTTGGATAAGACCACTTATCGTTTCGCGTACATTTCCTGATAAATGCAAAGCGTAATAGTAAATGATGCGATGATAGCAGCTGAGTGAAAAAAACGGGGGAGGGGTGGGTCGGGTCGCGTACTGTTTTGCTGCTACTATCGCGCAGTTCATTTATTTCGTTCTGTTTTACTAACTGAACGCCTAGAACCGGCTAATGACTCCAAGTCTCTGCATTTTTTAATTCAGTGGACTTGCTTAAGAAATGGACGTAAGCTGTAATGAAAGAACCTTCGTACAATTACTTTATATACTTATTATAATATGTGCACTATACTTAACAGTTGTTCCATGAGCCCGCACCTGATAAGGACTGGCTATGCCAATCCCGTATCCAACAAGTCAGAAACAGGAACCAATGGAATAATTGACCGCACGACTTGACCACTGAGCTTGTACAGATGAAATGTTACCTCTAAATACCTGTCGGTTCATTCTGTCAATTGAATTTAAAAAAATTGACCCCTTCAGAAAACCTGTGTAGCCAAAGAAAGTAAAAGGGAGACGTTGAATTCCACGTGTTTAAAAAATATGTGGATCAACCCTAACCCAAACCCAGAGGCTTCACGAAGCAGAAAAAAATTGTTTAGGTTAATATGTAGTTCAGATTGACACTCGAATAAAATATGAATTGTTAAAAGCTTCTTTATAGACACTCTGGTCTTTATGTTTTATCGTTATGTAAATGAAATGGGTGTTTTGTATGGCGTAACATACTGTTCAAAATTCAGTCAGGTTATTTTCCCTATCGAAAAACTAATTTAAGTGTCGAAAATCAATTTAAAGGGTCCGTTATTGTTGGCCTCTTTCAGACCTCCTCATTGTCTGCTATTTCCCGTGTCTGAAAGAAAACATTCAAGGAAAATGACACCCGAGCCATGGGGTAAAAAATGCTCGGTGGGACCCGGCTACGCCAATTGTTTCGTAGATTTTATCGAACACCAATTATTCAGTCAATACAACGGCCCCAAACCTGAACTCTACGATCGCTACATCGACGACTGTATCAGCGCCACCTTTCCTACCAGGGATGAGCTGACTCAATTAATAGCCGTTATCAATTAATTTCGCCTGGCTCTGAAATATACGTAGGAAACTTCCGACACTTCTCTGGCTTTTCTAGACATCAAAATTTCAATTAAAGTCAGAAACAAGAGCCAATGGAATTACTGAGTTATTAAATTTTTTCACTTTTTGGTAATCCGTTTTAACTCTCAATTTTCTTCAAATTAAAGCCACCTGAAGTCAATATCATATCTAATCGTCGAAACGGCGAAACTTGAATCACATAAGCAACGGTTAAGTTACGTCCGAAGCTGAATGAAAATTCAACGCAAGCAGTTTAATTCAGCTGTACACAATAGGCAAGCGAAAAATTTTGGGAACAGGTTGATTAAGTGTTTTGTTTAACTGGAACGAAGCAAAGCTTGTGATCGAGGATAGCTGACGTCAATTTCTCGCTTCGAACGTACGAGTTAAGGATTATATTCCTACTGAGACATTTGGTTAAATCAGTAAAGATAGTTATACCCTAATGTTCAAATGTTTTGCTGCGTGGTAGCGAACGGAGGTTGTATATCAGATGATAACCGAAATTCAGAGAACTAATAAGAACACTTGAAATATGAAATATCATGATCTTGAAATTTAATGGAAATAGATGGTTAGTGAGTGCGTACGACTCTTATTCAGTTCGGACTCAAACCTACCACCTTCCGTTCAGTACTTCGGACACTCTAAAACTTACATACAGTTGACTTGTGGCAAGCTAGCTCGATTACCTATGTCCTTGGAGATAGACTTCCTGCATATTGCGAGCATATGATTATTGATATGTGATTCTTACTCGCAATGCTGCATTCATTAGATCTCTTACTCATTTTGCTAACGCTAGGTATTTGTGATCCAACTGAGCTTACCAATGGAATTCGCCAGCTGCACAAGACTCGCGAGGGATGGCTCTCACCGTCTCCATGGTGTGAACAGTATCAGTTTTTTCGTGGCTATATTTTTACAAGTCTTAAAGTGGTCAGAAGAAAGAAAACGAGAGGAGAAATCACTGACGTATTTGTTGACATGTCTTCAATACTAGACCCGTATGAAGAGTGTTCAGCGCCGAGAACAGTGTTGATTGAAAGAGAACCTGGTATGGGAAAAACCACTTATTGTAAAAAGTACGCGTACGACTGGGCCACTAAAAAGCAAGCACCTCAGGGCTGCGGCTCCACAGCATTCAAAGCAGTATTGTTGCGGAAATGTCGAGAAATGCATTCTGATGTTTGGGGAGCCATTGATGAGCAACTTCTACCCCGAGACATCGATGAAGAAGTCAAACAACAATATCATTTTATTGATATTGGATGGATTGGATGAGTTACCATCCAGCAAATTGTCGATGTTTTAGGAATTAATTGGAGGAAGAGCACTCCCCAGATGCCACATAGTTGCAACAGCAAGACAAGAAGCTGGAAAAGAGGTGAGAAAAAGCTGAAAAGCATGTGAAAGGATTTGTCACCAAGTACTTTAAATAAAGGCACGATTTAGCTCAATTGTACTTGGATATAGTTTAATGTGTCTTGAGAAGATATAGAAAAAAGAAGGGACTATTAGAAACGGAAGAAGACCTGACAGATCTTAAATTAGAAACCGCAACTGAATCGCCTCGGGTTGGTAGCGTTGAATGGTTTACTTAACGACAAATTGGATTTGAATGAAAGTGAATTGAGAAAACATGCAAAAGAGTTGACTGAATTTGGATGTCTTGCATAAAAGTTTTCAAGAATAATTTGCAGCATTCTTCATTTGTGCTCAGATTCAAAGCAAGGAAATTAGACCTGACGAACTAATTTCCGATCCAAGGTATTTTGTTAAACTTGAAGAGGTTCCTTTTTTTGCGGGATTTTAGCCATGAAATGCAATGAACAAGTCGTGGCTCTTGTAAAGATTTTAACAAATGAATTCAACGAAAATGAAAGCAGCAGTTTAAAAGTTGTATTGGAGGCTATTAACAAATGTGAAAGACAAAAGAGTGATTTTCACTTACGGTTAGCAAAGTCTTTTGGAACTTGTTTAAATCTGACCAATTTGAATTTGTATTACAATGGTATTGGTGGTGCCGGTGCTACATCTATTGCTGAGGCCATCAAAGTCAACAAGACGCTAACCAATTTGGATTTGTCTGACAATGGTATGAGTGAAGCCGGCGCTACATCTATTGCTGAGGTAATCAAATTCAACAAGACGCTAACCAATTTGAATTTGTGTAGCAATGGTATAAGTGATGCTGGAGCTACATTTGTTGCTGAGGCAATGAAAGTCAACTAGACGCTAACCAATTTGAATTTGTGTAGCAATGGTATTAGTGATGCTGGAGCTACATTTGTTGCTGAGGCAATGAAAGTCAACTAGACGCTAACCACTTTGAATTTGTAGAGGTTATCACATGATTTCTAGTTCAATTTGGAATAAATAAGCACGAGTAAATTTTTTCAAAGACTAACAAAATTGAGTTATGTGAAGATTTTTTAGAGATCAGACACTATTTATCACCGGGGGAGGGACGATTCATCTTCCTTTTTTTTTTTGAGGGGGGAGGGGGATGGGGGATGGGGTTTACATGGTTTTTAATAAACGGAGGCTGATCAGTTGTTGCTAACAGAGATTTAATAGTTTTAAGGCGAACTATAGAAAACTGACCGCCAATTACTGTCAATGAGGAATCATAAGTATATTATAGGGGAAGCAGGTAAATTAAGTCGTGACAACCAAAATCCTCCAGCCCCCCATAGGCGATAAATAATGAGCAGCACCTCACAACATGGAGCTAGTCTTTCTGAGTGTTTGAGCTTGCACAGATAAACTGCAAGTTATAGGAAAAGTCAATAACTCTTTAGTAGAGCTTTATGAAGTATTTGAAAACTTTATGATTTTCCTTTGTAGGCGTCAGCTTAAAAATATATTTGAGAGCATTAATTTAAAATAAGTAGCAGAGTTCCTTTCTTTAATCCCCACAAGACCATCCGACTCTCTGTCCATGCGTTGATTGCACACAATATTTTGATCAGTTCCATCTAGGTCAGTCCTTCCCGCCAGTCTTTGGACGGGTCAATGATGGGGACGTCAAAGAAACAGATTCAAAGGCTCGGTATACAGTTTACCTTTGCCGATCAGATTCCAACAATTGATAATCAAAAGGAGAGAGGTTTTGATTTGGATTAAGTGGCAACTACGCTACGAGTGTCGAAGGTTAGAGTTTCTGGCTGTGTTTTTAAGGGGGGGGGGGGGAAGGGGCGGATTCCAGCCCTTAAAAAAGAAGAACGCATCACTCGTCAGTAGTTTTGGCAATAAAATGCTATTTGACGCTAATACTGAGGTTCGGAAAATCTGCCTTGCGTGTCTCGTTAAGATGCGTGACCAAAAGCAAGAGGTGATATGAAGTGAATCACGCGTTGTTGTGTTGAAGTAACTCTGACGAAAACTCGTCTCCAGCTTTAGGAGAAAAAAAAGTTGCTTATTGTTCATGTGAACCTTAAAAGAATGCCGTTGCAATTTTTTTAAACGATGTTTCTTCCTGAGGCTGAGAAACGCATTGCAAAGTTAGTTTCATTGCGTGACAGTGTTACTCGATTTTAGGTGTTATATTTCATTGTGTTATATTTCAATAATGTTATCTGCGCATGTCATGAACAACTACCTACCTTGTGTGACTTAGCGGAAAATCAGGAAAAAAGGAAACGAATCGGTTTAAATTCACATTGCTGTCCATGAGAAGAGTTGACCCGAAGAAAGAGCAGGTACAGACAAAATAGTAAAGTTATTCACTCCGTAACTTTAACTTTAACTTCAATAACCCGCTGTTGACTTACGGTATTTAACTCGCGTAAATGCGTATGATTACGAAAGTTTTAACACAAGCCTTTGGAAATAAGCGTATGGTGGAGATATAACTGATACATAAGCTACTTTTCTTTCTCTTTTCAGGACGATTGCGTAGCATCTTCACGTGCCCCGGGTGTAATTATTTCGTTTGAAGCACCATTTTGAGAGGTAAGTAAATTAATGAATTATGAATTGATGCGCACTAAAAGGTCACTTTATTTGAATTTCATACTTTAGACCAGCTTTTTTATTTCCAGAAGTCGTTTGTGATCTAGATTAAAGGGAAAGGGAAATGCATTAGTGAAGACTGGAACACGTAATGCGTATCAGTCAAGGCGGAAGTTGCTATTTTCGAAGGCGACAGGAAACTGAAAGCGAAACCCTTTCCGCACAGTTCGTTTTCCGGTGCCAGAGAATGATTTGCCTTCTCTAATTCAACAACATGTTTTCCGAGAACTCGAGTTAGGCATTATTTATCGGTGATATTTTTTCAACAAAATTATTGTGCCTTTAAATTCAATCTGATCGATAAACCATCGTGCAGTCTTGGTTATAGTTGACTAATTTTCCACGAAGTGTGACTCTTATTTGATGCATATAGGCTTATAAATCTAATAGTACTAAAACATAATATTAACAGAGAGGCTTTCTTATACAGAAAATCCAAAAGATAGGGAAGATTTCCATAACAAATAACCATTGAGGAGGGTGGGATGGAAAGGAAATGGCGAATGAGGTTCAGTGTGCACTGAAGAGGCTATTGAGCATTTGATCTCTAATCTCAAAGCAATCTTTCTTTCTGCATTGGCATATAGCTTTACTTTACCAGTAACAGGAACCACTGAATAGTCTGCAGATGTTAAATTATGCAACAGCCTATTCAAAGCTAAGTTTTCCAAAAACTATTAAAGTTTTCCTTGGCAATTTGTGGAATGACATATTTACATATTGGATTTCCTCAGTTCCCAGTTCAACCCGCTGTGTTCTAAAAATAGCAAACACATACAGTATCCATAAATTGAAATATCTGGAGGTTTTACTGTGTAAGATTCCTCTTAAGTTCAATTATTTTCGAACAACCCCTTTTCAGCATGATGGAGTGAAACAGCCTTATGTCGTCTATGTCTTTCAGATTGTCCTAGAGCTTCTTCAGTTCATTACACTTTTCAATAGCTACAATTACTGTGCTTAACTCTTTAACTCCCAGATCCAATTTGTAATTCTCCTTACTGTCAGTTATACAATTCTTATAATGTTGGTTCAGAGAATTTAACATTGGATCAACTAATTATCCTCAAATTTATATTTTTCTTAATTCTTGTCACTTATTTGGTTGATAATGTATTTATATTGTAAGGAGAAATTTGGTGTTGGTCACTCATGGGAGTTAAAGGAATAAATATAGCACCTTAAATGGAATTTTTGTGACCATCAATATCTCTTACATTTGACTAATATTTATTTTATGTTTTTCTTTTTCAGAAATTGTTACATGTCCATTATTTTCTGACTGCTCATATTGTGATTTTTTGAAGGCAGGAAATCTAAACAGGGTGGGTTTTTTTTCCCATTTTTTCCCCCTTTAAATATGATACATATATGTAAGGATTTTTGTGTCTTATTCTCATGGGAATGAAAAATGTTTATGTTATTATGTGCTATTCGCTTTTTTTCATGAATATCATTTTGCTTTGAATATAAAACATAATATTAAAGTAGCAAGATAGGTCACTAATTAAATTTGCATCAATCTTTACCCAGTGGTTCAATCCTTTGAATTTACACTCAGGAGTATAAATTGAATGTTGTCATCCTTCAATAGTGTTTGACACCATGTCTTATTATGTTGCACCTGGCAGCTGAAATGCATCTAGTGATTAAAAAGTTAGTTTTTTTGTTGTTAGAGGTGTAATGACCAATATAGAATGCAACTGCTCACTCTAATGCAAGATTCTGTATTTGTGGCCATCCATATGATTTTTGTGAGAAAGGTGATAGCAAGCTTAAGCTCATAACACGCTTCTACTTGAAAACATCCATGTTTATAATTATCAACTTCCTGATTAGCAAAAACAAGTTGAAACATTTGACTGTGAATGAGTTGCATTAGGGTTTAAAGCAGACACTTCAATTACTTTTTTTCATGTGAAGGTTACTTTTGATGATGTTTGTAGCATGTTGAAGCACAGAATCTAACTCAGTGCTGGGCAAATTGTGATGATTGTGTAAACAATCCAACATGTTCAAGATGTTAAAAAATCACAGTTACATATGGCTGTAACATTTGTGTAAAAGTATATTTCATTGGATGGCCAGAGGGATTTTTAGGGGATGGTAAAAATGATGAAAACCATCATGGCCCATACCATTTTACAACTGCTTAAATGATGAAATTTAAAATATTTCATATCTAGCCCTATCATAGATTTTAAGAACAAGGAGACCCTAAATTGTTTAAAAAATAGTAATCTGAAAGTTGACTTTGTGGGAAATGGCTAAGAGAGGCTGTTTATTTTTGTCCAATGAAAAGTGTGTGAAAATAGCTGGCACGCTGAAAGATTTAAAATGATTTAAGTAAGACACATGTATTCTCAAAATCTCACCAGAGGAATAAAACTAACAGAACTCAACACAAAGAAGATTTTGTGGATAAGATTTTTTTCCAAAATGGTTGTACTTCGCCAATTAAAGAGCAAGTAACATTATTTTGGTATGGCCATAACAAAAACAGTGTTTTGTTTCATTTTCTCTGAAATTAAAAACCCAGTTTTTGTCAGCTTGACTCCTTGTTTACTTTTAGGGGCCTAAACTTGAGTGTTGTAAATTATCAAAATCATGGAAAAAATATAAGAAAAAATAAAGCTTAGTTTATGTGACAGACATTACATTACAGTCATTACATTATGAACATCACATCACAGACATTATATTATGGACATTATGACTGCATGACTTTTATTATGATAATTCTTTTGGGAGAAATAAATGTTACATGCAAACCAATTCTGTTCAAATTTATCACATCCAAGTTTGTAGTGCTTTTAACTAAACACTAATAACAATAACTATAACAACAACTTTACATTAGCAGTAGCAACACAATGCTGACATGAGGAGTACAAATTTTCAAAAAGGTTGAGTCCAAGTGTGAATTAAGTTTTCTGAAAAACATATTGTATGTTAGAGTCAGTACCTTCTTTTATAATATCTGAAGATAACAAATTAAAATATAGCATGCAATGTTTCAGAAATGTAGCTTAAAACAAGCAATACTTCAACTTTCAAAGGCCACTCAGCACTAATAATACTATAGAGAAAGTTGTTAATTCATACAGTTCAATGCAGTGTAACTTTCCAAAACAGCATCAACTGGCTTATTAACAGTCAATGAATAGTACTCTTACAAAAAGTTCGGAACAATCCAAGTTTAGTAATTAAAGCAGTGT